TTTTTTTTTTATTTTACCCGATAAAAACCGCAACAAGCCAAGTCCGACAGTCTTCTTCTCGGATCATATTCGATATTTGAAATCTAATAAGAACTAGTCATTCAAAAAATCATAAATCTACAAAATCGTATTTGCTCACCTAAATCGGCACGTCGCAACCTCTATATGACCGTTAAAGAATCTCTAAAAATAGACGATAATATTTCTCTTAAAAACGATTAAAATTAGGGGTAGGGTCTTTAAATTTCCAAAAAAAAAGTATTCTCGATGATCACCCTAATGTGCATATGTACGGTTGCGCCGCAATTACTGTTGTTGCCAAATACATTATTTTCCAAAATCTCACATAAACAAATAACGATGTGTATAAAATAAACTTACTAAGTATTGTGCTATTCCACCAAAAAAAAAGCCGCCTAAGATAACACTAACAATAACAAACAACTTGTTCTTCATTCGAGCACACTCGAGCGGGCAGCTATTTTGTAGTGCACCCTCCTCCTACATATAATTCGAATTAAAAAACAGTAGATTTTCCATTATTTACATTACCTCCATCATCAGCACTAACCGGCGAGTCAACATCATCAAGTAAGAGTGGCACAAAGTCACTGCTGGAACGGAGCAGTTAACGCAGAGAGCAACTATCAACAACGATGCTGATGTGAACAAACATAGTAGCTGCTCCCCTCACAGTAGCAACGAATTGATGTGGCCACCGAACGAACTGAACTGAAGCGATGCCATCTTGCCGTGCTTTTGCTTTTGCTACTTGTCACTCTGGTTTTTATTGTTATTGTTGTGGTTGCTGCGCTTTTACATTTGCAATATTTTGCATTCCTAATTTATATGCCACCTCAACACCGACACGTGTACCAACCAACACCAGGACCAGGACCAGGACTATCTCTACCGTAACCATCACCTCCACTACTTACATTAAAGTCAACGCATCACCACTTCTTGACTTACCTTCACCTTCGCTGTCAGCCACTGTTGTGAGAGTATCCCCAGCACCTCCCCGTTTCGGCTCGGATTTCTCCCCTAACATGCCAGCAGCTCTTCCCTTTGGCACACCAGCCCCAGCCCCAGCTTCAGCTACTGCACTCTCCTCGCACGGTACTGCGTCTGACACTTCATAATTTTTCAATTGGAATATTTGATTCTTTAATGATTTCCTTCGCCGCAGATACTCGGCATGTTGCAATTGTTGATTGCACAATGCTGCTTGCAAACTTTTTACAAGATCATAATTGTTATTGTTTTTGTTATTTTTGCCTCCTCGGCTGCTATTCGAGTTGTTGTTGTGAGTATTGTTTGCCACATCGAGTGCCTGCAGCACTGCATTGATGACCTCGAGTGCGGCATTTATGATGGAATGTTGTGAAGCACTGCTGATGTTCAACAAATGCAAACAATAATCGAAAATTTCAATAATTTGCCTGCACTCTGTGTTGATTGCCGTTGATGATGTCGTGCGCTGTTGAGTGGCGTTGTTGTTGGAGCTGTTTGCTTTGCTTTTATTATTGATTCCGACGTGTGTTTGTGGGCTGTGGTGGCCATCGTCGCAATCATCCGGACAATCAGTGCGGAATCCATGTATGATTAATGGCAACAGCAGACGCAAGAAGCCGAGCACACCGAGTACGTTGTGTTGTTGTTGATTGGAAAGTAGGAATTCTGTGGAGAGGATGGAAAATGTGTATGGATAGAAAATTAAGATATTTTCACATGTAAATATTGTTCTTGGGAAAAAAGTTGCGAAGCGTTAAAGGTTATTTGAACAAGGATACTCGTATTTGCACGAAATGTTGAAGGAAAGCAAGCAGCAGTTACGAAATTATTTACTCCTGTTTAAGATGGTTTCTAGTCATTATGAGCAGTCACCCGAGTGGTTAGAATTTTTGCAACTAAATTTTTATTTACTTCATCATTAGAAGGATTATTTCCACATGATGAAATGATAGTGTATTTCGGAATGAATAACCGTATCTCTTGTCACATTTGTTGTGGGATAAGACCCGGTTTTGTGAATGGGTCATTTCTCGTACTATTTATAGAACGAAAAATAATACTGGAAACAGCATAATGCCGAAATCGGGTTGTGTGCAAACCAAATTTGATAAGGCAACCCTTTGCGAATACGGTTGCCAGACGTACTGATTTTATCAGTACAGTACTGCTTTTATTCATTTCTTCAATCAGTACGCTAATGTACTGATTTCTAAAAATTTTTACTGATTTGTACTGAATTTTCAATTCAAACAGAAACACCTTAGGACTTTCTTAAGGTTTTCACAAAGCATTGGAACTTCCTCAAACTGTGCTGTAAAAAGTAGGAAGAAAATAATTTAATTATAGTTCTTTTTTGTGAATTCTTAGTCTTTAAAAGTTTTTGCGTAGTTGAAAAAATTATTTAAGCCATGAGGAAATATAGATAAAGTCCTTAATAAATGGTACTTTTTCACAGTTTGAAAAGGTATTTAATTTAGTTTTTTTTTCAATACCACTGAAACGAAGCAATTGAGAGGATCTTAAGTACAAAGTTTGTTTCCCGGCGCAAAAAGAGAAACCGGTAATTTTAAAATGAAATGTATGGCATTCTTTGACTATTTANTTTAATTTAGTTTTTTTTTTCAATACTACTGAAACGAAGCAATTGAGAGGATCTTAAGTACAAAGTTTGTTTCCCGGCGCAAAAAGAGAAACCGGTAATTTTAAAATGAAATGTATGGCATTCTTTGACTATTTAAACAAAGAAAATGGAAATGATCTCATTATTGCTATTCAAAAATTACATAAATATAAAATAATTTAATAGCTCCTGGCTATAATGATGTGTACACTGATGTTAAAATTAATAATACTTTTATTTTTTATGAACTATATTTTATTTATATATTGTTAAATAGAAGAACTCTGGCGTTTTAAAGTATTTTCTGTTACTTAGATTCATAATTTTGCNCTAGCTCCTGTTAAACTTAATAATACTTTTATTTTTTATGAACTATATTTTATTTATATATTGTTAAATAGAAGTACTCTGGCGTATTAAAGTATTTTCTGTTACTTAGATTCATAATTTTGCTTTGAATAAGTGTACTAAGATGTACTGATTTTTATAGCATGAAAAAGTCAAAGGTACTCATTTCGCGTAAAAAAAAAGTAATAAAAATACAGGCAACTCTAGAGTCATTTGTGCTGGTACGACCGCACAGGAACTCTGTAAACCACTTTTTGACCATTCTAATTGATGATGCGGAATCCCCATATATGTAATTTATCAACCCTTTCCTTTGTTTCGGTAATGGATTTTTTACGCAAACAAGTTATGTTTAATTTTCATTGAAATTCACGAGGTGGCCTGCTTTTTAAGTTGCCCTCGTATGTTGAGTTTTATTGAAATAAATTACACCTCGATAAAAGGGGCGAGGGCAAACTAGTGTGATTAAGTAAGTATGTACAATATTTCATGAATAAACTGAACTTAATTTTTTAATGTGCATACTTGATATTCTGATAAGATGAAAACTCGGGTATAATGGACAGTTTGCTTCAGCCCCCGAGAGTGTATTTTAACCGGATTGCACTGTAATTATATATGAAGGTACGTATGTATGTACGCGTTAAACAAATTTGTAATATACCCTTTATTATTTTTCATTATCAAGTACGAGTACGCTGGAAATTTGTACCACTACGCAATTTATTCGCTGCTATCACTCGAATGTTTAATGCCACGACTNTAGTTTGCTTCAGCCACCGAGAGTGTATTTTAACCGGATTGCACTGTAATTATATATGAAGGTACGTATGTATGTACGCGTTAAACAAATTTGTAATATACCCTTTATTATTTTTCATTATCAAGTACGAGTACGCTGGAAATTTGTACCACTACGCAATTTATTCGCTGCTATCACTCGAATGTTTAATGCCACGACTGTGCTCCTGGGCAGGAAANGGCAAGCTAGTGTGATTAAGTAAGTATGTACAATATTTCATGAATAAACTGAACTTAATTTTTTAATGTGCATACTTGATATTCTGATAAGATGAAAACTCGGGTATAATGGATAGTTTGCTTCAGCCACCGAGAGTGTATTTTAACCGGATTGCACTGTAATTATATATGAATGTATGTAAGTATGTAATCGCTAAACAAATTTGTAATATACCCTTTATTATTTTTCATTACCAAATACAAGTACGCTGGAAATTTGTACCACTACGCAATTTATTCGCTGCTATCACTCGAATGTTTAATGCCACGACTGTGCCCCTGGGCAGGAAATTTACGAGCGTCATATATTTTTCCACCAATTGAGAGGGTGTTCATAGAGAATTGAACTTTAATTTCACATTTTTTTATGTCTTCAGATTCCACATCCGAGCCTTCGCTTTCGCTCGAGGCCTATAAAATTCCTTCTATGTTGCTTGTAAGACTTTTAGCAGAACTTGATAAACATTGGCATTCACAAACCATACGCATGCATCATTAGATGCAAATGCGAACACCTATGCGAATATTTTAAAAGATGGGAATCATTCGCATAAGCGAATGTGAATGCAAATATTCGTAACATCCCTACTGCCGAGTGGCGCCACATATATACGTATTAGGGATGCCAATATTAGCGGAATATTGTAATGCCATAATTCGGGATACTTTTAATGTAATCCCGGGGCTCATGCCGGGATTCACATCGAAACGTAGGTTTTATGAATACTTATAAGTGAAAACTCGATAAATGAAAGCATTTAAACATACCATGAAATAAAACTATTTAAGATGTACGTTAAACTGATTTTAAAAATCACAAACTAATTAAATATTACAGACAAATGGTAAGGTAGCACATATTTTCAAAATTGTATTTAAAACACCATAGGGGTATTCTGGTTTAAGCTTTAAACAAAAATATTAAAAAAAACTCGAAACATGTTTATACTACTCCATTTAACAAACATAAAAAAAGGAACAGTCCAGCGCCTTCGTCTTGGTCTGCAGGCTGTATCGGAGATACACCCGCTAAATTTAAACGTAGAATACGTGGTATAGTTAAAGGCATATGCAAGTCAAAAACGAAAGCACAAACTAAGAAAAAAATATCGATAACAAAATCGATTACAAAATCTATCAAAAAATCGATTACAAAATCGATAACAAAGTCGAAAACAAAATCGAATCCAAAGTGGATAACAAAATAAAAAAATCTATAAAAATTATCGATAACAAATCATTATATCGATAAGTTCCGAAAATATCGGTAGCAAGATCATTACAATATCGATACAAATTTCAATAACAAAATATCGATAACAAAACTGATCAAAATATCGATGACAAAATCGATTAAAATATCGACAACAAAATCTATAAAAATATCGATAACAAAATCGATAGAAAAATCGATAAAAATATCGATAACAAAACCAAACAGATCCACATTAACTGCAATCAACATATGTACGTTAGACTGCATCACTCCCCATATAAAAAAAATCGGTACTATTTTTCCATTGGAATTATAAAATCTATTATATTTTAAGACGTCCACCAAAATATTTCGAAAAAATATTAAGGTTTAAGTGAGCTGAACCAATTTCAAAATACCTCCAAATCTGGAGTTTTTTCTGAATAAAAATAGTTTCTTCAAATTTTTTTTTGAAAAAATCGCCTCAAATGACAAAACGGGTCAAGCTTAAAAAATTTGCATAAAAATATTTAAAAAAAAATTTAACGGAATCGTAATGATGAGATTTTTGATGCTGCTTTTTTAACTTTTTTCAAAGATTGGTATAAGAAAAACTTGAATAACTGAGCATTAACTCTTCTGATTTAAAATTAAGAGCTGTCGGTGGAAAGGTATTTTCTCGCCCTTTTTATTTCTTTGCTAATAAACTCATTCAAAGGATGAAAGAGAAAGGTAGGATGAACGAACGTCATTCAAAGATGAATTAAGATGTGTTGGTATTTGAAAAAAAAAAATTGGGACACGAATGATTTTTTTTTTGACTGAAATAAAAGCAGTGTGAAAATACCTTTCTACTGAGAACCCATAAGTCTAAATCAGAATAGTTTTAGGCCAGTTATTCAAGTTTTTCGTAAATCAACCTTTGAAAAAAGGAAAAAAACAGCATCAAAAATCTCATTCTTACGATTCCGTTGAAAAGATTTTTAAATATTTTTATGCATATTTTTTAAGCTTAAACTAATTTGTCATCTGAGGGGACTTTTTTCAAAAAGTTCTTTACGAAACTATTTTTATTCATAAAAANCCTTTGAAAAAAGGAAAAAAACCAGGGTTCGTATTTGCACACACATGCTCTGCTCACACACACGCCAGAAACACATTCAACTTGTACTCACTGCTCATACACATGTGTGTGCATAAGTGGAAAACAAACTCTGCTCACAGAAAAGTGTGTGCTGTTTGTTATTAAGCACATGCACATGTGTGTGAGCCGATTTTTGTACAAATTTCAGCCCATGCACATGCACATAATATATTTTTAAAAGAATTTGTTTATTAAACGTTATTTTTTGAAAGACAATTCAATAACAAGTGAGATGTTGTTTGTTTTTTATATGACAGAAAACATATTAAAAAATTATTTTAAGATTTGAGTTAGAATTCGAAGTGTATAAGTTTCTCTACGCATAGCACACACATGTG